GCGCTGGGCATGGGGATCCCGGACGAACTCGGTCCAGGCCCGGATCCACTGAGCCAGGCCGCGTCCTGCGTGTGCCAAACACCACCTCGTTCACCAGGGAGCTGTCCTGATGGCATCTTGCGGCATCGGCCTCGCGTGTGTAAAGGGCTGCACGCTGGCCCTGCGCATGCGCCCAGTCGGCCACCATGGGGCTGGAAGGTCCACAGCTCCTCTGGCGCGCCGTACACGCTGCGCCTGGCGTGCCTGGCGTGCCAGGCGTCTTGGGCGTGGGACCGCGGGAACAGCCGCGACGGGGGATCCCCAAATACTCCAAGCTCTTTGGGAGCCTTGGCTCCGAACTCGAGCGCAGGGCGGAGCCGGAGACGGAACCCCTCTCAGGCTGCCTTTCGGTCTCGAAGTTGGCGAAGGAAGTCGTCCCCGTGTAACATTCCGAGACTTCTGAAGCTGGTTTTGCTGAAGATATCAATGAACCCTTGCTTTGAGCTTCAATGCCTTTGCTGGAAGAGACACGTCTGCTTTGGAGACCTTGGCCTTGCTTTGATTGGCGTCCACTTTGAGATACCTGTCAGGAAAGCACAAGCTTTTATTTGCAATCGCTTGATAGACATGTGTGCAATGTGTATATATACATTTAAATATCCCCTGCATTTGACCAAAGGGCGCCTCTGTCGTGGAAGGAGGCGGGGCTTCGTTGGCCTTCGCTGCTCTTCGCCTTCCACTGGGAGTCGTCAACGGCGATGTTGCACCCGGAACGGATATCTGACCCCATGGTGATGCAGGTGGTGTCTCCTTCTTCCGCACGGTCGTGGGGCTCCTGGTGGCGAGAGCAGCACCCGAAACTCGTGGAACTAGTTTTATCAAATTGGTCAGAAGGGCATTCCTTAGTTGCTCTGATCCGCATCAAGGCTTCAACATAAAGAACAGCCAGGTCCCAGGCATTTGTGGCCGCTGTTCAATTCACTGAACAATGAGCTTCTGCAAGAGCTTCCAAGCTCCCCAAGACTCCCCCACGCTCCCCAGGTGCCTGAAGCCAGCCTGGACTTTGGGCACAGCTTGGCGCTCCTTTGAGCCTCGCACCTGTGTCCTTCGCACGGGCCAAAGTCGCTAGACGAAGACTACCTCACTATCCAAGCTGAGCGAGGCACGTTGGTGTGGACGGCACAGATACCTTGCCTATGGGACCTCAAGCATGCAGCGTCCGAAGCCTCCGCCAAGGTACCATGAGACTTCAACAACTACAAAGTGTAAGTACATACCCTATGCAAAAAATTACATAAATATAAAAACTGCAGGTTCTACCCGTTGCCAAGGTGCGTTTCACAGTCGGCCCAAAAGCTCCGGGGGCCAAGCTTTTCTGGGAAGCACCGCCTGGACTAGCAGGGCCTGGCCCGGAGGTGCGGATTTGGTGAGCCAAAGACTTCGCAGTCCCTCGAACGGCGGCGATGGTTGCGCCTGCCCTTCGCGGATTGGCCGTTGCCTGAAAGGGTCCCAACCCAAAACACATGTATGGTTACGTAAGAGTTAAGATGGTAAGATGCGATGTAGTAGAGCTCATCTGTGATCTGTAGAGGCAATGGAAACGTGTCGGGACCCCACAAACAAACTGAAAATTGTCTTCAGAACTCCTTTCAGAAAAGAGTGCTCTGCACTTCAGCCTTCGCAGCTGTCGCACCTGCGGGCAACTGTTGCACTCAGCTCCAAACAGCTCAAGGTTTTTAGACCTCGCCTGCGCAAGGCGCCATCAGCCATCCTCAAACCGCCCCACCTAAAAAGACCGGGATGATCCACAATGTACTTCATTGTCCGGACAAACGTGGTGTCATTCTAAAGTGAGCCACGCATAAATGCTGCGCTGTGTTCAATCATCTCTGCGAACCAACGGGGCTGCTGCCAGCACACTCTTTCCGATCAGCATCAAATTACATAGTTGAAAGAATGTCAAGCGTGCATTCAAGCAATTCACGCTGAACATGTACTCCCTGGAATGCTGGGAACTCGCTGAGTCTATGCACGAACGCATGCAATGCTGGCAACCAGTAGTCATCCCAGCCAGCGCAATACACCCGGTCACACATTGGAGTCTGGAGTGGATAGGCGGCCTCGCATTCCGGCACTAATTACCTTGCCAGCTGCTTGTTTAACGATACCGACCTCACCCCAACCCGAAGACAGCTCGCATGCACAGATGTTGCGCATGAGCGGCGTTAGGGTGTGCGGTGCGTGCCGTGCATTCCATGTGAATGGACCGCGAGAACATGACCCTCCCAACACCGCCACTAGGGAGAAACTCCAAACCTCAACGTCACCGCGCAGCCAATTGAGCAGGTAAGTCCGCCACCGAGTAAGTGCAAAAAACATTCAAAATTTACAGCAAGCAGTGAACAGGGTCAGTTTTTCTTCCGGCCCCCAGCGGAATCGTAGTATTCGCATACCCCGGGTCCGCGAGTTCCTGGTTGATTCCAACCCGCAATGAGCCGAACACTTGGTAACCTTAAATGTG